TTAATTATATTTTACATCTTTTTATTTTGTGTATCCCCTACTTACTGTAGTTATAGTTAATTTTACTACTTTTGTATTTTAACTTTGATCTTGTCTTCGTAAGTGGGTGATCCACTGCCTTTCCTATACATTGCCTTTACCAGTGATATTTTTATTTTTATCTTTTTTCTTACTTCTAGTTGTGGTCTTTTCCACTTAAAAAAGACCATTTAACTTTCTTGTAACACCAGTTTAGTGGTGATGAATTCTTTTAGCTTTTTGCTTCTCTAGGAAACTCCTTATTTCTCCTTTAATTCTGAACGATAAACTTGCCATGTAGTATATACTTGATTTGTATGTTTTTTCCTTTCAGCACTTTAAATATATCCTGCCACTCCTTTATGGCCTGCAAAGTTTCAGCTGGAAAATCAACTAATAGCCTTATGAGATTTTCCTTGTATGTGACTAGTTGTTTTTTCTTTCTGCCTTTAATATTCTTTCTTTAACTTTTGTCATTTTAATTATAATAGACCTTGATGTGGATCTGTTTGAGTTTATCTTGTTTGGGACTACTGACTGTGCTTCTTGGACCTGGAGGCCTGTTTCCTTCCCCAGGTTAAGGAAGTTTTCAGCCATTCTTTCTTCAAATAAGTTTTCTACTCTCTTTTCTCTCCTCCTTTTGGGGCCCCTGTCATGTGAATGTTATTACATTTGATATTGTCACAGCAGCCCCTCAAGCAATCCTCATTTTTCAAAGTTCTTTTTTCTTTTTGCTGTTCTAATTGGGTGATTTCTATTATTCTGTCTTCCAAATCCCTGGTCCATTTTTCTGTGTTATCTAATCTGCTGTTGATTCCCTCGAGTGCATTTTTCATTTCAATTATTGTATTTTTTAGTTCTGACTGGTTCTTATATTTTCTAACTCTTTGTTGAAGTTCTTACTTTGTTCTTGCATTCTTCTCCCAAGTTTGGTGAGTATCCTTATGACCATTACTTTAAACTCTTTATCAGATAAATTACTTATCTCCATTTCATTATGGTTTTGGGTGGAAGCTGGAGTTTATCTTGTTCTCTCTGTTCAGAGTATATTCTTTTGTCTCCTCATTTTGTTTGACTTTCTGTGTTTGTTTCTGCAAATTAGGCGAGACAACTGCTTTTTCTGGTCTTGAAGGAATGGCCTTGGTAGAAGCAACCACTATGTAGGCTGCATGCCTACATGGCAGGCTGGCTTGGAGTGGAAGTGGGCGTAGGCCAGATAGGTCTCCAGGTGAGCTGTGTTGGGACCACTTTGGAAGGACAGCTGGAATTGGAGTAGGCATGGGCGGGTGGTGGTCCACTCCAGGACAACCCTGGTGGAATTGCTGGAGGTCGAGTGGACCCAGATCAGAGGATCCCTGGGTGTGCTGCACCCAGGGGCTACCCTCACAGGACAGCTAGAGCTGGAATGGGCTTGGGGGTTCCCAGGATACACCACACTAGGGCTGCCTTTGTGGGACAGCTGCAGCTAGAACACATACAAGCCAGGGACAGGTCCCAGAGTGCACTGTTTCAGAGTCAACTTGGTGGGACAGCTGGAGTGAGCTTGGGCTGGGTGCGTTCCCAGGGCATGTTGCACCAGGGCTGCCTTAGCAGCATGGTTGGATCAGTGCAGGCCAGGGCTGTCTCAGGGCATGCCACACCAACACCACCTTGGTATCTATTGACAGACTCTCTAGGGTTGGTAAGTGGATTTCCTTCACATATAATCTAGGTACCCTTTAAGGCACTGTTTTTCTACTGTAGTTGAGGGTTATCCCTCGGTGATATCCCTCCCTACTATAGGTCACCACGTCAGGGACAGGGTAACTGTTTTTATTGTGTCTTCATCTCTCCTACCCTTTTCTATGTAGTCTCTCTATTGTTTGTTGTGCAGAAGCTGTTCAATCAGTCCTCATTTCTTTTTCAGGAGGAATTGCTCTATATGTAAGTGTATATTCAGTTCACGTGAGAGAAGGTGAGTACAGGGTCTTCTTACACTGGTATCTTGGACCCCGTTGGAGGCTGAAACATTTTGTAGCCAGAAAGCAAAGCAGCTCTTAAAAAAGTGATAGCTTATAGCAAAAGGACACAGGAACTAACTTGAAGGGGTTCCCAATGGCCAAAGCTATTTCAATTTAAACAACATAGTAAATAATAATAGAATTAGATTATAACTCATAAAATAAAATAAATATCCCTGAGTCCATACTGATATAAATAATTGAACTAATAAATGGGATAAAAGCAACAGCTCTTTTTATTGTAGAATATTAATAAATGTGAGAGAATAAAAGAAATAGGAAGTCAACATAATCATGCACCACAATAATAATTGTTGCATTCAAGAACCATTGATGGATGCTAACGTTAGTAAGTAAAAGTTTGATATAGAAAAAGAATACTTGCATAATCTCCAAATACCTCTCCAAGGATATTTATTATTTACAAATGGAAAAATAATAACTTTGCAGTGGCAAAATCTGGCCATGTAATCAAAGTTAATATTACTACTTACCCAAATATGATACACTGAGAAGGACATTACTTTTCTTATATTCTTGCCAAAAATGCATAACCTCATTCTAATGAGAAAACGTTAGATAAACACAAATTGAGAGACATTCTGCAAAATAATTGGCCTGGATGAGCATCAAGGTCAAGAAAAACAAAGAAAGCCAGAGGATCTGGCACAGAATAAAGAAGACTAAGGAGACTTGTCAACTAAATCCAGTGGGAATCCTAGATTGGATTCTGGACCAGAAAAAGGGGGAAATGGCAACACTTAAATAAGATTTGTAGATTTTTTAATAGTATTATATCGATGTGAATTTTGTTATTCCAGTATTTGTACTATGGTTACATAGCTGGATGAAGGGTAAGTGGCAACTCTAAGTAGCTTTTAGGTAAGTCTAATGTTATTTCAAATTTGAAAATTTTTGTGCGGTTCTTTTTTTTTTAGAGAGAAAGGGAACTTGGACTAGGTAGCTTCTAAAGTCTCTTCCATCCAACTTTATTGTTCTATAATACAGTGATGCAAATGGAGTGACATATTTAAGTACTTTGCTTTCCTGTCAACTAAGAAATATATTAAGACAGCTGAAAATAGCTTTGGATTCTAAACTGTTAGCCCAGTTCAGTGGAATATGTCTTAAATGGCTACTGTTGCACCCAGTACTGTGCTGAATAAGATGGTCCTTGTCTCCAAGACAATCACAGTCTAGTGGAGATTGAAAATGATGTGGTGGTCTTCCCTGTCAGTCACTTAGATTACTGAGGTCTCTCTTCCTTGATGTTTTAAAATAATGGAGTTGGATAGAATAATATAGAAATTGATAAGTCTTAGAAACCTACCAAAGAGAATAAGAGCCCTCAAAGTAGGCCCCAAGATTTTTCAGTCTTGGTGCCTGATGAGATAATGATAAACATTAAATAAGATAAGCAACCTAGGGGGCCTTTGGTATTAAACACTTGGTGTATGGGGAACCAATAGGACATTCACATTAAGATTACCACCAGATAATTGGGTATTTCATTGGAGATATAAAGATACATATATTTGAGAATAAAGGGTAACACAATTCTGACATTCCCTTAATGCTCATTTGCTGGATGATTGTACTGAATTGAGCCTACATTTTCATAATCCCACTATGACAAATTACTGACTAATGAATTAGTATGTTTCATTTAGCAGATATTTACTGTTAAAAAGTCTTAACTCTTTCAGGAAATGTAATACATTTAAGTCAAGAAGTTATGACTCAAGTTCTAAACTCTGTTAAAAAAGATGATATTTGATTCTTAGGTATTTGGGGCCTGATTCTATTTTTTTCCTGTTTTATTTTTTTTTTCTTAAAGTGTGGCTTTAAATCAAGACAATTGTGTAAATGAAATGAAAGTCTTAGTGCCACAAAGTATTTGATGAAAATATTTAAGAGATTAATTTTCACCAACATAATTTGTGACAAAAGTCTTATCCCTGACACTTCTGTGGGTGTGATGTCTTCTGTGGAGGATTAAAAGTTGTGTGTCTTATTTTCGTAATAGGAACATATATGCTGTTTTCGAGTCTCCAAAGAATTGAAAAGTCAATGTGGGTACTGTACTTTGAAAAGTGTATACTGTCAGCCTAAGGTGTTTTTTAATCTTTCATCTCTTTTAAGGATCAAATATCATTAGAAAAATAAGCCATGGGCATTTCAAACATGGTCTGGTGAAATTCAATATTCACAATGACAATTCAGAATATGAGCTCCTTGGGGGAAAGTTAACCCACCACTCTAACTTTGCATCCAAATATCTTAAAGTGTGCCATTGGTTTTATGAAAAGGTTTTGATCTACACTTCTAGTTTAAGTTCAAAAGAAAACCTACATTTTAAAGTGTATTCCTTTTCTGGGCATATTTACTTTGAACTATAGCATATAGTTTTTCTCATAAATCTAACCTGCCACTATCTGTTTTTAAGACTTTGTAAACTTCAAGTGGTTATGATGTGTGAAGTTTGGATTAAACTAAAATTTTTAGAAAACACATGTTATATATTTTGATTGTTTTGATTTTAACATGGGCCAGTCAAAGACTTGAGTGTCTAGCAGAGTAATATACTATACTTTTACTGTAAAAAATCACAGAAGAGTGCTCTTTCTCATCATGTTAACAATAGACAAATGAAGCAGCTGTTCTTATTCTTAATGTATTTGTTTGAAAAACTTGCACAATTTAATGAAAATGTCTCTACTCATAAAATTTAAAATGCTCACACATGGAAAAAGTCAAAATGTTTTGGCAAATATTGCTTTGTTAGGAATGTGAATGAGGTATACCTGCTTCATAACTAGAATTCTCTCTGAATGGCATAAAACTGGTGGAAAACCAACTGAAAAAAAGAAGACTCTGACAAAGGACGAATTAATAGTCTTTAAAAAGGTGGTTCTTGCCTAAACATATTTTTTGACGAGGAAGGATTGTAATATATACCCCTCTCCATTTCTTTTTTTTCAGGTGTAATTCTTGGGTCATCATTTCTACTCAGTGTAAATGATTTTCTCCTTAAAACAAGTCTCAAAGAAAGAAGTCGAATTTTGATAGGACCGTGTTGTGCTACTGCCAGTCTGGAGGCTAAGTGGTGTAAGCACAGTGGCAGTCCAGGCCCCGAACTGTCCATACCGAAGATGTCCGTTGATTTGAGAGGAGGTCTGCTGCAGGTCTGTGGGGGTCGGCCCCATTTTCCCATAAGTTTTTAACTAGCCTTTGTTCATTTTTTAAGTCTTTACTAAATTTTAAATCTTTTACTAAATCTTGATGTGGTGAGAAAGGGTATTATCACATTGCTATTTTATTAAACTTTTTAACAGCTTTATTGAGATATAATTCACATACCATATAATCCTCTTAATTAGAGTACACAGCTCACTAGGTTTTTAGTGTATTCACAGAGTTGTATGATCATTACTACGACCCATTTAAGAACATTTCCACACACCTCAACACCCTGTATCCATTAGCATTTGCTCCCCATTACCCCCTAATCTGCTCGCCAGACCTAGGCAACCGCTAATCTATTTTGTCTCTGCATATTTGATTCTTCCGGACATTTCATGTAAATATGTGAGTGGCTTCTTTCACTTGGCATAGTGTGTTCAAGGTTCATCGTGTTGTAGCAGGTGCCAGTACTTTGTTATTTTTTTATGACCGATAATAATTCCATTGTATGGATATGAGACATTTTGTTCATTCATTAATTGATGGACATTTGGGTTCTTGCCACTTTTGGCTATTACGAATAGTGCTGCTGTGAACATTTATGTACAAGTTTTTACATGGATGTATGTTTTCATTTCTCTTTGCTGTATGACTAGGAGTGGAATTGCTGGATCGTTAAACTTTTTCTAATGTGTAGACTATTCTAATTTCAAGTAGTCAACCTGTCTCAAGCACAGTGTAATCAGCAGAATATAAGCAGTAAATAAGAACTTTCTAACAACAGATTCTTTAGATTAAATTATGATGTCTAATGACTAACACTTGACATACAAGGCACTTTGCGCCCTTTTATGCATTTGATTTAGAGCCAAGTACAAAATGTGTGAGAGTATTCAACTTATTTCTTGATAATTTTCTACTAGATAAACTTGAATGTATTCTTTCTATGAGTTGATATCCCCCAAAGTTGACACAAATTCAAAAAGCCTGAGAAATTCACAATTATAGAAAAATGGAAATGACTAATTTGTCAATGATGGAGGCATATTTCATATGAATTTCTTGTTTTCATCTAAAAATTGTGTTGCTTCAATGTATTCATCAGTTTTCTTCCTGACAGAGCTAGATGTGGGGGGATCCTCATAACTTACTGCTTTGTATATGGAGATTCTCCACATCTATCAGAAATCTTCACACACTTAACAATAAGCATGTAGTTTTGTGTTGTTTTATCAAGAATATTAATTGTGTTACCATTTTTTTAAGGCAGCAAAGTAACTCCACATTGAAAACAATAAGAGCAAAACCAAATTATATTACCTCTACATTATAAATTCACTATCTCTTGACAATTTAAAGGCAGAAGCACACTGTTTCTCTCCCCAGCTTGACTTCACCTATCTCTGTTTTTCCAGATCCAATAAAAATAATACTGATGAGAACAAAAGTAGACTTACTTTCATTTCTGAGATGCCTTAGTTCCAGAAAGCAGGACCTAAGCCCCAGGGTTTAAAACTTAGCCACAAAGTATAGAGTTATCCTGCTTCTTTATATTCTTTTTTCTTTTTCTGTGTTGTGTGGTTTTCTTAGAATTAATGGTTGTATTGTCTTTATCTAATATATTCAGAGAAACTTAATATTACTGAAATTTTGAGTCCTCTGACATTAATTATTCTTACCTACTGGTCAGACTTCTATTATAGACTAATATTCTTCACACACAGAAAAGGTGAACTGGATCCTTTCTATTTGACGAAAACCAAGACCTTTGTTCTGAAATTCTACTGTAGCTCCTGTACAGTCAGTTCTCAGGGAGTGTGACATACTGTGTGTTTGCACATTCTCACTAAACATTGGATTTGGGGGACTTTTGAGTTCAGGTTCATTTAGTATCTTTTCTCTCTTTTTTCTCTTAAAAGTAAAAGTGCAAAGAAAAGAACCGTATAATCGAAATGTTTTTATTTAATCTCATGACAAAACGTATGAAGCTATTCTACAAGGTTATTTATTATTTTATTAACATTTTGGCCTAGATAGAGTATCTTCATTGCCTTCTCACATTGTAATAGGTGTTCTTTTCCCTCTTAGCTAAGTTAATTAATAAACATTGCCTCACATTAACATAATTTTATCATTAATTCAGCATTTAAAATTGATTATAATTCATATGGCGTAATTGATTTTCTTGTTTTTATATATTTACTCAAGTAATAGAATTACATCCCATAGGTCAATTTCTTCTTAGAAATTATAGTTTAGTTATTATCAGTAATTAAATTGAACATAATTGCACTCACGTATTAATTCAAACATGATTATACCTAATTATCTTCATGAAATGTTTGTGTTTAAAAGCCACTAAAATTTTTCATATAATTTTAAAGGTTTTTTGGGGTCAAGAACATTTGAATTGTTTAGTTCTTCTACATGAATTGCTCATTGGATACCTCAGTGAAGAGGGCAGTTTTGAAGTGCAAGCTTCTGAACCAGTGCCGCGTGTGCCGTCTCCGGTGGGAAAGAATCAGATGTTTAAAAGTGAACAAAGCTCAGATGACCTGCGGACAGGTCTATTTCAGTATATACGAGATGCTGGTGAGTAGGGACACTTCAGAGAGACAGACAGAGAGAGAGTGAGAGAGAGAGAGAGAGACAGAGACAGAGAGAGAGAGAGAGAGAGTTTGTGTGTGTGTGTGTGTGTATGTGTGTTTTAACTGCACATTTACTAAAGAATAACACAGTCACTTGAAAAGTACATTAATACCTGCCACACAAAAATGGTAGATTACCATTCAGTCTCTCTTAAGGGAAAATTCTTGTTTTGTTCCTATCTCAAACTATATAAAAATGACCAACCAGCTTCTTTATCTATTTTTTTATCCTCCTAATATTTTATTGTCATAAACTAATGTTTCTCTTCAAAAGTACACAATCAATTATACTTTCATTTAACAGAACCTTCGAAAATGCCTGGTGTCTATGAAGTCTTATTTTACAACGAAACCGAAGATAGCCCAGGTACAATGTTATGGAGATACCCAGAACCTAGAGTGCTCACCCTCGTACGAATAACTCCTGTGCCCTTCAACACCACAGAGGACCCAGACATTAGCACAGCAGACCTTGGTGATATGCTACAGGTACGTAATGACTATGCATTTTAAAGTAAAAACATTGTAGGAAGCGCTGATTAGACACTAGGACAAATGCGTGGAGGAGCACATCTGCTTTTTTCCATCAGTAGTGTCAGAGAGTAGTACACACATGTATATTTACATACATGAACACACAATATTTTTAAATACAAGAATAATATTCTGATTCATGGTACGTGGTAATTTTGAGAGTTCTCAATTCTACTCTTGGTCCTATTGTAGGTAGGTTACATGGTCACTAACTGTATTAAGACAAAAAGGTGTCATTCAGGGCACCACACATTTTTTGAGTACCTACCAAGTGCTCACAACTGTTCAGCATTTCTAGAACTGCTCTATGCAATAAAATATATCCACATAAGGCCAGAATGGATGACTCAGTTTTCATTTCATTTCCAGAGCTAAAAATGGTAATGAGAAGGCTAATAGGGAAACCATCTAAGCAGTGATCACATTCTATATGATTTCATGAAAGTTTGTTACTTGTCAGTTCCCTGAGTTTAATGTAAATGTCATTGTGGATAGCACTCTATTATCATTCTACTTATTAATATCCTACGAATCTAAATTTCTCCTAAAATTTGTTTTTCTCTTAGTGTTCCACCTATTACTAGATAACAACCATCCACTCGAAACAGAGGAGTCTTCCTGATTGCTTCCTTCCCCGACTCCCTGCATCCAATTCATCAACAAGTCTTGTCAGTTCTACCTCAAAAATATGTCCCTGTTTCATCTATTCCTCTCTGTTTCTACTGGTACAACTTGAGTCCAGGCTGCCATAAGTTCCCTACTATAGTAGCTTCCTAATTGGTCTTTGTAATTCCATTCTTGACTTCCTGTAATGCATTTTCTAAATAGCAGCTAAAGAGACTTTTAGAAATGTAGATCAGGTCACAGCAGTCCCCTAACTTAAAGCATTATGGCTTCCTCTGATGCTTAGGACAAAATTCACATATCTCGATTATAAGAACCTATGATATGTGCCTTTTTTACCTCTCTGACTAGATCTCGTGCGTTTCCCCATCTCTCACTATGCTCCAGCCACACAGGTCTCCTTTTTCTACTTGAGCATACCACTTCAGAGTCATTTCTGTCGTGCTGCTCCCTATCTTTGTCAGTCAGATACCAGCTCAAATGTCATATCCTACCTAGCTCACTACCACTTCTTTATTCTGTGTTACATTACTTTGTTTTATTTTCCTCATAACTGTTACTGCTATTCAGAATGATCGTATTCATTTGTTTATTTACTGGTCTCTGGTCTTTTTATCTCTACTGTTAGAAAATAAGCTACTTTTATGTCTTGATCACTTATCTCCAGCCCCTGATACATAGAGATATTCACCAATTTTTTTGTGTGATGCATTTATATTTTTTAATTTATTTATTTAAATTAGTTTCAAGTATACAGTACATTGGTTAGACATCTATATAGTTCATAAAATGATCCCCCCAATTGCTCCCTCTCTCTCCTGGCCCTTCACCTAGCCATCATATTAATGCTAACTGCATTCCCTCTACCGTGCTCCCCACCCCTGTGACCAACTTCAACTACTAATTTGTACTTCTTTACCCCTTCACCCTATTCTCCCAGCTCCCCAAACCCCCGCCTCTGTCCATCACCAAATTGTCCACTATATTTGTGAGTCTGTTTTTGATTAGCTTGTTCTTTTTGTTTCTTAGATTCCACATATAAATGAAATCATATGGTATATTTATCTTTCCCTGTCTGACTTATTTCACTCAGCATAATTCCAATCGTCTGTTGATGAGCATTTAGATTGCTTCCATATCTTGGCTATTGTAAATTCTTCTGCCATGAATATTGGGGTACATAGATCTTTACGAATTATTGTTTTGGTTTTCTTTGGATAAATACCCAGAATTACAATTGCCGAGTCAAAAGGTATATCCATTTTTAATTTTTTGAGACACCTCCGTACTGTTTTCCATAGTGGCTGTACCAATTTGCAATCTCACCAACAATGTATGAGGGTTCCCTTTTCTCCACATCCTCGCCAACGATTGTTGTTTTTTGATTTATTGATGATAGTCATTCTGACAGGTGTGAGGTGATATCTCATTGTAGTTTTAATTCACATTTCTCTGATGGTTAGTGACCTTGAGCATCTTTTCATATGTCTATTAGCCATCTGTATTTCCTCTTTGGAGAAGTATCTGTTTAGGTCTTCTGCCCATTTTTTAATTGGATTGTTTGTTTTTTTTTTGTTGTTGAATTGTGTAAGTTCTTTATATATTTTGGATATTAACCCCTTTTCAGATGTATCATTAGTGAATATCTTCTTCCAAACAATCAGTTGTCTTTTTGTTTTGTTGATGGTTTCCTTTGCTGTACAAAAACTTTTTAGTTTGATGTTGTCCTATTTGTTTATTTTTTCTTTTGTTTCCCTTCCCCAAGGAGATATATCTGAAAAGAAATTCTTATTAGTAATATCAGAGAGTTTACTGCCTATATTTTCTTCTAGAAGTTTTCTGGTTTCGGGTCTTACATTTAAGTCTTTAATCCATTTTGAGTCTATTCTTGTATATGATGTAAGCATGTGGTCTAGCTTTTTTTTTTTTGCATGTATCTGTCCAGTTTTCCCAGCACCATTTATTGAAGAGACTGTCTTTACCCCATTTTATATTCTTACCTCCTTTGTCATATATTAAGTGAGCATATAGCATGGATTTATTTCTGGGCTCTCTATTCTGTTCCATTGACCAATTATTTTTGATGACTGATGCATACTTAACAAACCAGAATAATAATGTAAATTAGAGAGGTCCAAGATACATACTAGCATAGGTATTATTGTATTCTTATTTAAGTATTTTTAAAATTCCTGATTATAATACATTTAGTCAGATGTTCATCTTCTCAATTAATAACAGTGATGTGTCATCATTTTGTCAAGTGAACTAGACTGTGCAGAACTATCCAGTTGCCAAGACGTCAACAGTCTCTGCTTTCTTCTTCTTTTTTTTTTTTTTTATTGTGATGAGAAATTTTAAGATCTACTCTTTTAGTAACTCTACTTTGATCTTTAAATGCTCAGATTTGTTTTTGCTCCTGTCAAGGTCATATCCATGATTATCTTCTCTAACAGTATTCTTGGATAATTTTTGCTAAATAAAATAGCATTATCTTTGAATCCTACTATCATTAGACTTGCCTAAATGCAGAACATCTGTGGTATTTTCGGTCAAAATGAAAATACTCATATATCAGAGTTTCCGCATCATGTAAAAGTTTCTTTCTAACTGATTTTTGGGTTCAGCTTTGTACATAAATGTTAATATATTTATTAACATAACTCTGATAACTATTAGTGCTTGTATTATGCCAGTTGTATTAAACAGAGCATTTAAGGTAGCAAGTGCTGATGTGTACTCCATCCTCTCATCGCCATGGGAGAGGGAGGAGAACACAGTGCTTAAAAAGGTGAATCATAGCCAGAAGACTTGGGTTCAAATTCTGACTCTGCCACTTGCAAACTGTCTCACCTTAAACAAGTAACTTAATCTCTCAGCTTCAGGTTTTTGTTTTTGATTTTTTTCATCAATAAAAAGAGGCTATTAAAAATGTGTTGATTATATGCATTAATATCTGTAAAACACATAGAACAATGCTTGGCACATAGCAAATGCTATGTAAGTATAAGCACTACCACTACTACTATGATGACTGTTGTCAAACTCTTCCTCAAGCAGAAGCACAGGCTAGACCAGAAAGAGCTGGAGTGTGATGACTTTATAGACCCGCTGGAGTAGTCCAGGAGGTCCGAGGCAGTTGCAGTGGCCTAGACAGGGGACTTGCCACATAAGCAAAGCACTGCATGAAGGAAGCCTTGCCGGTTTCGACAAGCAAAGAATTGGTTACCAAAGAGGTCCTGCCACATTTCATATCTGTTGGAGAGATAGAAACTGAAATATGGGCAGAGTTGAAAGACAGGAATGCTGGCTTAAGGAAGACAGGTTGCATCTACTGTAAGCTGAAAGGGAGAGTGCGGTCCCCATGCTGAGAAGGAACTGCTGGAATCAGCAACTGAGAGGGAAGAACAGGACAGGACTAGCAAAAGGTTGCCAGGCCGCTGCGCTCCTGGTCTGGTCCTCATCCAGCACGTCTTCAAATAACATTTCCTCGTGACATTGATGAGAATGCCGCAGGAACTTAACTCTTGTTTATATCAGTTAGCTTATGGTAAAATTGGTTTCATTAGACATTGTTTCGCCTCAGTTCCAAGACTGTGTTGACAGTAGTAAGTGAGGACTTACTGCATTTCCCTGGCTAGGAGCAGAATTTGTTCCAAGGTTTGGGAAGAGCCTCATCTGTGGAAATAACACTCTGGGTTACAATCTTAGAAGCAACCAAACTATTTTGTTCCCTTGGAACTTCTGTAGTGAATAGAAATTATGTTGTGTGCATCACAGCAGACTTTATTCAATATGATAGTTTTTCCTTCAGTACTTGTAGTGCCAAGCCCTAGGCTTGGTCCTAGGGATTCAGATATAGTGAGTTAGACAGTGTCCACTCATTATAAGCTCTGTCTAGCAGGGAACTTTCTATGGTTGTTTGGGATAGAAGAGTCTCCCTAATTTAAGCTTTCGAGGAGAACTTCTTTTTTGTCACAGTCGTTCTCCTGTAATATGTGATTATCTCTAAGTCCGTACCAGAGGTGCATCTAAAATAGTGAACCGCCCATCTTGAATTGCAAGGAGCTTATGAGAAGAAGGCCCTTTATCATGATGCTGTAGTGCAGATAACGTGGACATTAAAGTCTCAACTACTGGTTCCCGATCCCCTCCCCTTTTTATTTTACTAGCTCAGTGAACTTAGTGACCTCTTTGAGGCTTCATTTCCTCAGCTGAACAGTAGAGTGAATGTTATTTTACCTTTCAGAGTTGTGACAAGAGTTAAGTGAAACATTATAGTTAAAACAATACATGCCTTACACATGGTGAGCTCTTAATAAATGTTAATT